GAAAATAGGCCCAGATGCATACAACAAGCCAATATCAGTATATATTAAATCAAATCAGTGAGTAAACAAAATGTTTGTATAAATGGCTTTGTCTTTATGATTAAACTGGCTTACTGATATGTGCCAATGGGTACTACTCTGAACCTAGGTGGTCACCATATCCCTCTGGTTAATGGACTAGGTCCTGAGAGGAGGAAAAGCAACCAGGGGAGACTAGAAAGAGGAGGCAGAGAAATAACAGGAAAGCCATGAGACTATGATGTTACAGAAGACAAAGAAAGTAATTTTTTTGGAAACAGCTAGGAGTAGTCAACCATAGCAAATAAGATGTGTGCTGTCCATTAGATTTAGCAACATGAAGCTCACTACTGATCCTAGCAAGACAAATTTGGTAGATAGTAGAATTGGAAGCAGATTTTGATGAGTTGAGAGCTGTTTTATGGAGAAGAACAAAGGATGAGTAAACTGTTTCTAGAAGCTTAGTTGTTAAAAAAAAAAAAAAGAGGGGCTGGATGGAGTGGTAGATGGAAGTGGATGTGAGTGAGGATTTTCTTAATATGGTAGATATCTGAACATATTTTAATTCACAGAAGTGCTCTTCAAAAAAACAAACAAAAAAACCAAGTAACTCCACTGAGCATAATAATTCATTTTCTCCCAAATATTTGTTCACTTATGTTATTCTGTGGGTCAAGAGATTTAATATCACTTAAAACTTTTGATTGACATCAAATGATCAAACAGACCAATTTCTCCCATCTCTCAGCTTTGCTTTCATCCATTTATTCATTTAAAAATTTTTGTTGAAAACTACTATGTCTCATGCTCTATTTTAAGCACTGGTGATACAATGATACAAAAGACAAGCAAGCCCACTTTCACTATTTCTTTTCAAAATTGTACTGGAGTTTCTAGCCAGTGCAGTAAGTTAAGAAAAAGAAATTTTAACAATATAAGAATTGGGGAGAAATAAACTTATTATATTTAGATAATATAACTATATATTTAGGAAATCTCAATGAATCTCTAGATTACTAGAACTATTTAACCAGTTCAATTACTGGATACAAAGTATGGTAGGTAGAATTCTAAGTTGTCTCCCAAGATTCCAGACATGTACATGCCCTATATAATCCCCTCCCCTTAAGTGCGGGTGGACTTGTGAATATGAGATTTCACTTTCATGATAGGATATGGTATATGGCAAAGGTGAAGGAATTTTGTAGATGTAACTAAGACCAGCTGAACCTGAGCTAATCAAAAGAGAGATCATCCTAGTGGCCCTACCTAATCAGGTGAGACTTTTTAAGAGAGTTTAGAGGTCAGAGATGTCAGAAATCAAAATATTTGAAGTAAAAGACAAGGTTTCCTGGTAGCCTTGAAGAAACAAAATGCCATGTTCAAAAATTGCCTTGGCCTCTAGTAGCTGAGAGTGGCTGCTGGATGATAGCCAGCATGAAAGAGGAACCTCCGTCCTATAATTCTAAGGAACTGAATTTCACCAATAATCAGTGAGCTTGGAAGAGGACCCACAGTCTAAGATGAAATCATAGGCCTGACTGACACCTTGATTTCATCCTGAGACTCTGAACAGATGATCCAGCTAACTTGTACCCAGACCACTGACTCATGGGGACTGTGAGATAATAAATTTGTTTTCCAAGATGATAGGTTTGTAATAATTTGTTACACACCAACAGAAAACTGATATACAAAGTCAATGTACAAAAATTTAATTGTTTTTCTATATACTAGTAACAAACAGAAAACTTTAAAAATTGTTACCATTTGCAATTGCACAAAAATATCAAATACTAGGGAATAAATCTAGTAAAAGAATGAAAGACCCCTCTACACAGAAAACTATAGAACTTTATTGAGAGAAATTAAAGATAGCCTAAATAAATGGAACTATAGGCATTATTCATGGATTAGAAGTTTCAATGTTGTAAATATGTCAATCTCTCCAAATTAATTTATAGATTCAGTGCAATCCCAATGAAAATTCCATCAGGTTTATATGTGGAAAAATAGCAACTTGACTCTAAAATGTACAGTTGACCCTTGAACAACTTGTGTTTGAACTGTGCGGGTCCACTTATATCTGAATTTTTTTTCACTAAATAACTACTGTTTTTGATCCATGATTGGAAGTTCATGAATGTAGAGGGCTGACTATATGCATTGATCTACATCATTTATGTAGGGGACTTGAGCATCCTCCGATTTGGGTATCTATGGGGGTCCTGGAACCAATCCCCTGCAGATACTGAGGGATAACTGGGGGTAGTTAAATTTTGGGGAGTCAAAGGTTATACATGGATTTTCAACCGCACTGGAGGTGGGTTTCTTAACCCCAGCATGTTCAAGGGTCAACTGTGTATGAAAATGCAAAGGGCCAAGAATAGCCAAAACTCACATAAAAAGAACAAGATAGGAGGACATACGCTGCCAGTTAAGTTTATTATAAAATGACAATAGTATGGTATTAGGGTAATAGCTAAAGATAAAAATAATTTTGAACTTCCAACTAATCAAAACAGAAAAGATAGATAATTCAATACAAAAATGGGCCAGACACTTAACAGGCATTTCACAGAAAAAGATATCCAAATGGTCATATGAAAAGGTGTTCAGCCTCATGTGCGAAATGATGTACCACACATCCACACTTAAAAGACTGAAAAGCTGGGGCTGTCTGAGTGGCGTATTGGCTAAGAGCTGGCTTGGGATGCCAGCTCTGAGCAGCAGGGCCCTGGTTCGGATCCCACATGAGGGCCAGTGACACTGCCCTCTACAGCTAAGATGGTNTAAGTGCTGCTCTGATTCCAGGTGGTCAGCATCTCTGGTTAATGGCATCCAGAGGGAAATTGCTCTCATCTCTGTCTGATACTTCTCTGCCTGCCTGAGCTGCCTGCATTCCCCCCCAGTGTTACAGGCTCCCTTAGTTATTCACTACTTACCTGCAGGATGAAGTTAATTTTTGTCAGACTTGTGATTCCTCGTAACAATGGAACCGATATTCTGATACTGATTCTAAATCTCTTATTATAATGAAGGCATGGGGAAAATATTCCTATACCAACAGTCCCTAACCCCTTGCACTCGTCCTCATTCTCAAGTAGACATCCAGACTTCCATTCACACTCAACAATATTTATCAAAGATGACTGGGTCCAA